GCGGCACCCCCCAACAACCACAGTGTGCGGCACCCCCAACAACCACAGTGTGCGGCACCCCCCAACAACCACAGCGTGCGGCATCCCCAACAACCACAGCGTGCGACGGCCCCCAACAACCACAGTGTGCGGCACCCCCCAACAACCACAGTGTGCGACGGCCCCCAACAACCACAGTGTGCGGCACCCCCCAACAACCACAGTGTGTGACGACCCCCAACAACCACAGCGTGCGACGGCCCCAAACAACCACAGCGTGCGACGGCCCCCAACAACTACAGTGTGCGGCACCCCCCAACAACCACAGTGTGCGACGGCCCCCAACAACCACAGCGTGCGACGGCCCCCAACAACCACAGCGTGCGGCACCCCCCAACAACCACAGTGTGCGACGGCCCCCAACAACCACAGTGTGCGGCACCCCCCAACAACCACAGTGTGCGACGGCCCCCAACAACCACAGTGTGCGGCACCCCCCAACAACCACAGCGTGCGACGGCCCCCAACAACCACAGCGTGCGACGGCCCCCAACAACCACAGCGTGCGACGGCCCCCAACAACCACAGTGTGCGGCACCCCCCAACAACCACAGTGTGCGGCACCCCCCAACAACCACAGCGTGCGACGGCCCCCAACAACCACATCGTGCGGCACCCCCCAACAACCACAGTGTGCGACGGCCCCCAACAACCACAGCGTGCGACGGCCCCCAACAACCACAGCCTGCGGCGGCCCCCAACAGACTGGTCAAGTAAATCTTTACGATCCACTTGCACGGCGTGCGGTGGGCCTTCATCCAGCAGTGGATTTAAGCACCAAAAAAACTCGAGTACTAATGTAATGGACAGAGCACGGCTCTCCCTCAAGGCAGCAGTGGACAGAGCATGGCTCTCCCTCAGGGCAGCAGCGGAGCAAGCACGGCTCTCCCTCAAGGCAACAGTGGACAGAGTGCGTCTGGCTCCCTCACGGCAGCAGTGGAGAGAGTGCGGCTCTCCTTCGAGCCAGCAGTGGAGAGCACGGGGTCCCTCAGGGCAGCAGTGGACGGAGCATGGCTCTGCCTCACTCTCACTCACCCAGTCTCCTCTGAGGTGCATGCGATTGTGTGTGAGTGAGTGAGCTGTGTGAGTGAGTGAGCCGTGTGTGAGTGGATCGACCGTCAGGTTTCCGTGGCTGCGTCTCCAGCGCTGTGGCCGTCATGTTGCTGCTTCTCGCGCCTCCGAGGTGCGGGGTGCACCACAACACGAAGTGGGCAGCTCGCGGTCACGTGACGCACTTCAACCAATCCGGGGGCGCGCGGTCACGTGACGCACTTCAACCAATCCGTGGCGCGTTAATCACAGTCACAGAATGACAGAGGGACGATCTGGGCTATTATATATGTGTATATATAAAAGGCAAAGTTGTGATTATGTGTGTCTGTTCAAAATGTTTAGCGTACTTTCCGACATGCAGCAAACTTGAAATTTGCCATGTGGGTACTTTTTTTTGGGGGGGGGGGCTCAATAATGCATATCTTTTTTGCACGGCAAGTGAGCTGTGATGTCAAATCTGTCATGTGACCCGCGCATGTGGAAGCGTAACGCATTGCAGTGTCGTGGTTAGCGCGCTGAGCTACGAACCCGGCGACCCGAGTTCGATACCCGCTCACGGCCACCACCGATGACGATTATTTGAACCGGTCCTGGGCCTCCCCTGGGTCGACTCAGCCTCAAACGAGTAATTGGTGTGGTGTGTGAACATCGCCACTGGGGAGACAAAGGCGGCCGGGCGTGGTGAATCCAAGTCCCAGGCAAAGCCGGGTAGTAAAGCGAGTTAGTAATACATCGGCATTCAGCGACCCCCCACTACCACTGTGTAGCATATTATTACGTGCCAGGGACTCTATGAGATGATAGGACAATAGTCCGAGTCCATAATTGGCAATATGTAACAGCAAAGCAGTTATAAGTGACTCACATAATTGTGCGCAGTTGCGTATACAGTTCACAACTTCCCTGAAGGCATTCACCTTCAGTGAGCGCGATGCCGATCACATAGCGCGGTTCGAATTCGACCCTCGATCGATGGCTGTGCCATCGCCGCACACGCGTCGAATAAAAAGCAAGGGACAAGTCCTTACTTACTAACAACTCCTATCATTTTTCATTGCTGGAGGGTTGCCCCCCCTACCTGAAAATTCTGGCTCCGCCATTGTGTACACTGTCATCAATATACCCTTACAAAACACATTGAATGTTCGGTATGATTAAACATTAATTGTTTCAATCATATTCTGTATTTTCATACTAATAACAATGATAATGAGGACATTTCGATTTAAAGCTTTCGTGACTGCAGGGATTCATCTTCTTGGTTCTTTCGGTAAAGTCACGTAGAAGGGAAGTAATAAAATAATAAAAATAAAACATAATAAAACAATTCTCACGACGTTTCGGCCACAACGCAAGCAGCCGTCCTCAGGTGAAAACCAGGTCCAAGCTCGTGTGCTGTTTCATTCAGACTCTGTCGCCTCGACGGACCTGGTTTTCACCTGAGGACGGCTGCTTGCGTTGTGGCCGAAACGTCGTGAGAATTGTTTTATTATGTTTTATTTTTATTATTTTATTACTTCCCTTCTACGTGACTTTACCGAAAGAACCAAGAAGATAATGAGGACAATTATGAATTGTTAGTTCATTGCTGAGTATAGATTTTCTTTCGTTGAGGAAACTTGGCACCACAGACAGGAGTTTTAACTGACTTGAGAGCTTTGTTACAATGAGAACCCTTTAAAAGGAATTGAGGTTGGTTCATAATGTGCTGGAGAAACTCCCTCGTAATAAGCTCCGCTGCACAGGGACACAAAACGCGAGGACAAACACACACCTGTTTTTATCTCCAAAAAATGCAAATTAACTATGATCAAATCGAAAAATAATCAAATCAAACAACAAAATTGGTTTTCAAATCTTAAGTTACAGGGAAAGCCTATACAAATAGGTGAGTTTACAAGAAAACTGCAGAAATCGAGTAACTGCTCAAGTGGTGAAGCAGTTGAGAAGGTAAGTAGTAAAGCAATGTTAAAAGCGTATTTTAAGAATAATATTGAGTCAATTTATATGGCAAGGGAGATTACGGAAACTAAAAGTGAGTAATGGAGAATAAATATTGCAATAGAAGACAGATGTGCTTATTAGAGAACGGAACTGTGCTACAAGGTCATGTGTCATGGAAGATAGGAGCAAAGAAAAGTGTAAAACAACAAATCCGCCAATAATTGAGGAACGGTAAATCGCGCTATGTAACACGATTTTTGTTATTTTTAATTGCTTATACCTCAAAAAGTATTGAAAAATGGCTATTACTCCCCACAAACTTTGCTTTTGTGACCAGGACAGTGAGATTTTGAAATCTACCTATTTTCAATGAGAAAACGTGTGCATTTGTGTCATTCCTTCACATAAAGTCCCGGTCACAAAAGCAAAGTTTGTGGGGAATAATAGCCATTTTCTGTTTTTCTTTGTTACACAGTGAATTATAACTCTACCAGGGAGTGAAGCTTAGTAGCTAGCGTATACTGTTTGACGGGAGATACACTTGATACACAGTAGCGAGATAGACGGTTATACAGTTACCGAAATGGTAATGTTTCTTGTTGCTCCGTTGTTTAATAAATACTTAGGTTGAGAAATAATATGTGCCGTGTGATTACGTGCCACGGGGGGTGCGAATCCAGAGGGGAGAGCGGGACAGCAGAGCGTGGGGTGAGATGTGAATCAAAGTTTGTAGCCAACCACGCGTGTGGTGCTTGCTTTTGTAGTGAGTTCAACTGAGTCACAGACGTTGTCTTGGGAGCAACACATTTTTATTAAACTTTTAGCACAACATACTCCAGGCTATTAACACAACATATTCTCATGTGGTGACCACCCAACTAACCACAAGCTGGGTCCCGGACCGCGTGGCTGGAGGCTTCTTCAAGCTTGATGTGGATCTCCTGCCTCTCCAACAGCAAGAACCCCGAGCCCATCTCAGTGCCCCCCTTATATCGGGCCGGGCTGGGGCTGCCTCTGATTCTCACCCCGCCCACCTTCTCGATCTCTCTCGCCCTTGCCCGAAGGCTCTCGAGAGTTCTTCTTGGACCATGTGACCACCCATTGGCCCCCTCCACCGGTGGCCCCCCTCCAGTATCATCCGGTCACATGTCCCCAGGTCAGCCAGAGTATCATGCCTCCAACGTAACCCTAGCTGACTGACATTCTCTCACTCTTTCAACGGGAGCCCACACCGCACGCTGTGTGGTGCCATCGCCCTTAACCAGCGTTCACCCAAACCCCCACTAGAGCTGGTACTACACCCCGTGTCCAGGGTGTACACACAACAGTATACATCCTGCCGTGGCCTCGCAAGCCCGGCAAATGTATTGGGGAACAGACTATAACTGGTGATTTAATATACAGTACTTGTCAAAAAGAATAATGGATTAATTTTATTTCCCAATATTCTGTATAATGTAATGAATACATAAATGTGAGCAATCCTGCTTAATCTGACATTTTTGTGAAATTTCGACAATTGACAAATCACAAGTCGTTGCTAACTAAGCTTTATATTTCATGAATGCTAAACAAAATTTCAGTCAACATTGACTGATTAACGTATTTTAATTATTTGGTCGTATTCATAACTCTGATCCAAAATGAAATTGTATTTATTTATACCAATTTGTTTTTCAAACTTAATTCTTTATACGTTTATGTTTCAATGGACACCATAGAGTTCAGAAGATCGTGTTTTCACATATATTGCTGGAACGAACGGTGTTTATCAATTTAATCCTGGAATGTGATGCAAGACCGGGTCAGACAAAACGTTCTGGTACTATTTCTGTGGAATGTGTGCTCGTATCTTAACCTACGATATACAATACCGAGCATTCATTATTTATTTTGTAAAATATAAAATTTACACGGGAAATACATGGGCATGATATTTTTTCAGACCACACCGACGGCCCCCACTGCACGTCAACAGCTGCTCGTTATATAATTAATCTGAGTTTACCAGTCTGTTCAACAGCACAACAGTTGAAGTGTAGTTGCCAACTTACCAACTCGGCATCTACATCAACACCAGCCTGCCACAGCCATGGACGCCGAGGAGTACAAAGTTCGAGGTGAGTTGATGTCTCTAAATAAGCATGGCACCAATTAGCCAAACTTTCTCTCCATGCCTCGATGTCCTCTATAATCTATCGAGACCAAAAGTGTAATTTCTAAGGACAAAACAATGGCAGTACAGCATAAAAGAAAAAAATGTTTTAAGGTACAACACGGGCATACAGTATTGTCAAGTTTGCAATATGTATATGATTTACATGAAAGTTGATGTAGTATTTTATGGTGATTATTGTACATAGCTATACGGTGATTTTAACGATTTATAGTGGTTGCAAATATGATGCATAAAATATGCTTGGACTTATTGGTGCATAAAAAATGTAATTGTTAACCTGTCAGCTATCCTGTAATGTAAGGTTTACATCCACAACTTGGAAAGAGTATACAATCACGTCAGGGTTAACATTTGGAAAGAGAGAAATGGGAAAGCATGAAGAAATACAGGCGCACGGGTAAGAATTTTAAAATAACCACTTGCAATTGCATGTATGTTGAACTTCTTTAGCACTATACGTAGTCAACCGTGATAATCGGAGGTGCGAATTTACAGTGGCAATTAAGTACACTATTTTACATTTTATAAATTGACATTGTAAACAAAAAAATAAAACAATTACAGTAAACACAAAAGAGGTACAAAATTAAGAAACCAAAGATAGATTATGCAAATTCTAATCACATTCGTTAATGACACTGCCTTCCGAACATCCTCAGGAAAATGCTATAGGTCCTAATTTTTTGAAATGTTCATCTATAACACGAGCGTTTAAAAGTACTTTTGACACGGGCGAACTGACCTCGATTACCGGCCATGATTAACATACATACGTGGATTGGTAAAATCCTGTAAATTATTTTTTTAAATGTCGACAACAGAAAATGGTTATCATCAGTCTGAAATCGGCTTTAGTATTTATACTGTATTCCTGTCCAACATTTATATAATAGAAACATGTAGTTAGTATAAACTTTGCAAAATGTACATATCTACCAAGCATGAAGGTCCACCCTATTGTTTTGTACTGATGATGTGAATGGTATCACAGTGCCCTTGTCCAATCATCAGAAGCTCTTCTGCGTTGCGTCATATTCAGAATTAAATGTTATTTTGGCATCCAGTTTGGACTGAACATTTCATAATCACATGTCATACATAATTAATATTAACTCCGCATATCCGACAACCATCAGTAGTCATAATATGCAACTGATGCCATAATCCACCGGATTGCATCAACACCCGTGTAGTGGGTTCACAAGCGACAGAGACGGTGTAGTCGAGGCACACTATTTATTATAACTTTATACTTAGCACAGGGTAACGTATACAACACTGGAAGGGGTAACGGCCCCTTCACCCGTACTGGACTGGGATACACCCCTAGGCTATCTGCCTAACTGTTCTGCTCCCAGGTCATCCGCTAAGGGTACTTGGGGAGGCTATCTGACCCGGCCCTGGTCAAGGCACAGGTCACGACACCCTGCCAGACAGACCCGGCTCTTAGAAGAACATATGCTCTGAGGCTCTGGGGCCACGCCACTGGCTTGCTCTGTCCGGTCCTGAGAAGGACAGTGGGTCAGAGGAGTTCCAGGGCATATCTGCCCGGTCTTCAGTCTTCACTGGTTCTTCGCTCCTTAGCTCCCCAACACTGTTCCCCGAGCCCTCTCGCTCCCCGCATTTTATACCAACTTGCCACCGAGGGGCGTGGCCGCGTGGGATCACAGCATCCCCCCACAGCCCCCCAGGGCGGCAACCGTTCACGGACGTGGATGTAGACACCCCTGTGCACTTGTCCGCTTCCCTCCCGTAACACCCCTACACCTGCATAGGTATGTAGCCATTAAATGAGGAACGTTGGGTCAACGTTGGCCCAATGTTGCAAATTTACTGGGTTTTGAGCACCTGTTGTGGTATGTTTAAGTACAGTTACAAGGCAGATTTTTAAGTGATGAACTCCATTAATGAACTGAAGAGTTACAGTATATGAATGAACGGAACGCCATGAATGAACCACTGTACAGTACAGGTAGTCCTCTACTTACGATGGAGATGCGTTACGACGGCCTCATCGTACGTCGAAAATATCGTAAGTCGAAAATGGCATAGCCTACCCAGGAGTCTTAAAGAATGGTAATAATTTAGCAAAACAGAGCAATTTACAGTACCGTACTGTATAAACTGATATACTGTATGTATTTATTCATTAGAATACTGTATTGCACAGTAAAATGTAAAGTAAAAAAACAGGGTAAATTCTTAGCCTACTTATATGAACTGCAATTTAATAGAACGTTTTTTCAGGAAACAATCCTATCTGCTATAAAAAAACTTTTAACATGCATTGAACGTATCGTATCGTGGTAACATTAAAATGAAATCGCTAAAGCTACGTATCATACATGCATTGAATGTATCGTAACGTATCATATTGTACTGTCCTCGCCAAGATTCTGTCCGTCGTCTGCATACTTTAACGATGTTAGGTTGTTGATAGCAATTTTGTTGTATCGCTATCGCCATCGTAAGATCGATATATCGTAAGTCGGACCATCGTAACTCGGGGACTAACTGTACTTTTTTTGTTCTCAATAGCATTTACTACAGATGTCGTTGTGCTCGCTTCCCAATCTATATTCTCTGCATCAACATGATAGATGTCATGTTTTCCCGAAATATGTTCGAACTAATGTATTGCATCGTGGACTGCATGTTGATAATACAGCAAAGTTATATTGCAGGATGACGGCAAATACATTGTGCCCCATTATACAGGTAGGAACAACAGTTCCACACTGCCCACCAGGGATTATTTGTCTGTCTGTCGTGCATAGCCACGCCCTCGATTTGTATTTCATAGAGCGCTTCGGGCGGGCTCAGCACCACGTGACGCACCGCCCCAAGCAGCTTGCGCCGCGTGACACGGATCGCACGAATGCGCTGCAGCGCTGTCCAACCAATTTCCTACCTTCCCACTCCGAAGGAACGTGTTTTAAAAAGCTATTTATACTTATTTACACTATTGTCATATACGGAATAAATTACGTTCTTTCACCAACGCACATTTTTATTACGAGCATTACAAATGTGTTATGTATTTGTATTATATTATACAGGGGCGTACTGTGCTGTATAATGCTTATGGATTACAGTACAGTATAGCTCAGGGGTCGGCAACCAAAATAACAAGAAGAGCCATTTCTTTCCAATTCGGTACAAAATTCAGTATTTCAAGAGCCGCAATGCATCTGAGTACATACTGTACATACGTACATATCGTCAAGAAGCAGCCCGTAAAGAGCCGCATGCGGCTCCGGAGCCGTAGGTTGCCGACCCCTGGTATAGCTTATCAATTTCAATGGTAACCAGGATAGCTGACGTGTATTATAGTAATTCTCTCAAGAGTCATGCTTAAGGGCAACACTTGAATATGCTTTACATGTAGAAGGCGTGCTTGGACACAGTGAGGTGATGTAACAGATTATAATATTTACTACAGAGATTATAATCTGTTACATAATTATTTTGTTGCTATACATGTCCACGTGAAAAGCCACTTCCTTGAGCTATTATTTTTGGCAAGGTCACTTCTGAAGTAGAATATAATAGCTCAGTAGGCTTTACCTGGTAAGCATTTTTTTTATTTGCATTTGTATATTATTTAAGTACATTTTTTTAGCTCTCCTATATTTTTAACTCCTTTAGTGTTTTGTATTGTTTGTTGTTGTTACATTCTGACCCACCCCTGCTATAAATCTGTGACAAAAAGCTTTGTAGCTCAACAGATTCCCAAAGTATAAATAAATATTCTGATTCTGATGCAGAGGTCACGCAAGGGACAGGAGATCACACCCAGGAAAATGAAATTTGGAGAAAAAACCCAAAAGATACATAATGGCGGGGACTGAGAGGAGAGGACTCTGGGAAGAGGCTAGAAGTCAACTACGAGTGTATGTGCCTTACAAGTGTTCTTATCAAACTCACTTCTTCTCCATGGCCCATTCCAATCCTCTTCCTTGCCCTCACCCCTCCACTCCTTCCCGTCCCTCACCTGCAATTTTGTAACCTCCAAGTGCCTCCTGTTACGGTCACTCATTCCTCGGCCCTTGCACACCTTTGCCATCTAAATCACTTTATTTTTGTTACTTTGAAACTATGTAAAGCGCGTTGAGGTAAGGCGTTCTATACATATGTAGTGCCATAAGAGGGAGGGGCTGCTGGGGGCTCTGGGATCCTAGGCAGATAAGCCCTCGGCGCCAGGCGCTAGGATCCCAGGCAACCCAGACGCTTAAGCCCCTTGGCGCCACCAACGGGGGGGCTGTGTGTGCTCTGTGGGATATCTGGGGGCGCACATAACCCCACCCCTCGTTGGGGACGAGGCATAAAAGGGCAGTTCCCAGGCCGATCGGGGCCAGTCGCAGTTCAAGACCCAAGACCAGCCAGTTTAGGACCTTGGACCCCCTCGTCCCGCTTGTCCTTGTAAGGGCCGGGATGCTGTGAGGGCCAGTGGTGGGACTCTGGGACTCCCGGCTCTACGTCCTTGTAAGGGCGAGTTCCGAGGAAGCCAGAGTCCAGACCCGCACCTTGGCTCGGTCGGGTCAATTAGCCTCCCCTAGGGTAATTGTAGCCAGAGGACCCCAGAGCGTAGCCAGAGTAGTGTATCTAGGCTCTGTACCTAGGCTGTGTACCTAGGCTGTAACAGAGTATCAGGACTGTTGGAGTGTTGTATTGTAATAAAGAAGTTACCTCTACAAGTGTCTCCGGAACCCATTACACATATAAAAAGTAAAACAAAGTGTTTCAACGTACAGACTTTTTTTGCACTCAAAAGTAGAAAATGAATTATTGTCACCCCAGAAATAGTCAAATTTGATGTGCTGAATAAAAGTGGGTGGCTTGCATAAAGAAAATTAAAATATTGATCGGAGTCTGCATCAAAGATCAAATTCCTCGTGTTCTGTCCATATCCCGCCGCTGCTTCACCTTCCCAGCTGATGCTATGATTGGTGAATCCAGAGCTGTAGAACGCTGTTGTTCAGGCTTAGCAACCATAGTCACTTACATGATTTTATTTAAACGTTGTACAGAGAAGCACCAAGATTCAGATGCAGCTTTGATTCAGTAAATGGCCACATGCAAGTATGTACTGCATTGTTTCATGCACAGGTAAGGAGATGGTGGACTACATCGCCGCGTATCTAACTGGGCTACGTGACCGGCCTGTAAACCCATCCGTGCGGCCCGGCTACCTGCGTCCCCTGCTGCCCCCTGGCCCCCCGCAGCAAGGAGAACCCTGGGAGAGAATCTTTGAGGACGTGGAGCGGCTCATCATTCCTGGGGTAATGCACCCAGCCACAGAAACGTGAATAAGATAAGATCAAGCCAAGATCATGCCTTACAACATGTGGTGCAACCTGAAAACACATCGGACCACTATTTAATTTCTGCTGTATTAATGCAAGTTGTGGCGTGCATGCAGATTGTGCACTGGCAGAGCCCACACATGCATGGATATTTCTCGGCACTCAACTCGTACCCATCGCTTCTTGGTGAAATGCTGGCGACTGGGATGAATGGTGTCGGCTTCACATGGGTACGTCTGTATGTAAAAGTGCCGTATTTGCATAACGACTGCAACGACCATTCACCACTAAGTGGCGGTGACGTCACCACATAGCGCTTGTGCCAGGCTAGGTGCATACAAAATAAGTGACAGTACATATTAAACAGATCGATGAACAACCATCAAAAATCATGTGGGAACTCTTTGAGATATGCATCTTAGTTAAATGAAGACATTTGTAAACATTTTGAGAAAACAAGATGCAAGGGTAACAATACAAATGTACAAATTTAACTAAAGTTTGAAAACATTTGCTAAATCGTTTAAATAGTTTATTACACAATCATTACAGCGAATTAAGTATTTACATTTTATATAAAATCGCGTAATGTTGAAGAAAACGTGTTAATGGATATATTTTAAGGTATGTAAGTAAAAATATATATTCAGTGAATAGGGGGGCCCAGGGAAAATCAGATATTGCTTGCCACGAATGTTAAACATGGCCAGACTAAATCTAGAAAGACTTAATCTGGCCCAAAAAAATATTCAGATTTTTTAACTTACAGAATAAAAAAACACGTGCAACAAACTTTTTTTTTTACAAATTCAATATAAATTTTATTTGCAAGCTGAGACTGTAGGTAGGTTATTTGATTCAAGTAAAATACCTTGTTTTATTGGTTATTGAGCAGCTCCAACACTATGATTCAAACTATGGTAATAAGGGGACCGTTTGTGTTGTATAACTGTTGATGCGTGATTTGGGCCAGGCATCTAACCCGGCCTCCACGGAGCTGCAGATAGTGATGACGGACTGGCTGGTGAACATGCTGTCCCTCCCTGACACCTTTCGACATGATCACCCAGACGGATGTGGAGGTGGAGTCATACAGGTCCTTCATCTATATCATCATCATATTTGCAACACTTTGGTTTACAAAGCAGTACATTTAAAATCTAAATACATCTAAAACGATAAACAGATTAACAGAATAGGCAAGAAAGATTAGGAGCAAACATTTAAGGGGTGGAGAGTGGAGACAGACAGGATAATTGATAGGATGGCGCTGTGGGAAATACAAGTTGAAAGTGATGTGTTTAAGAAGAGATTTGAATGCTGGAAGGGGCCAGTTGATATAAATAAGTGATAGCAATTGTCATATTAACCGCAATGTAATAGTGACATACTGTCGCATGTGTAGCACAGTTGCCTCCAAGGTCAGTGGACCATTTTTTTTCAACTTCAGATCAATTATAATTATTAATGGATAAATTTGTTCCACAAATCCCAAAAAATGTGTGTGCTTGTGTACTTGCGTTTTTGTTGAACAGAGCTCAGTGAGCGAATCTACCATGCTGGCCCTCCTGGCGGCACGGACACGCGCTCTTACACAGTTACGCGGGGATGTGAGCCAGGATGTCGGCAATGACGCACTCCTCAGCTCACGACTTGTGGGGTACACCTCAGACCAGGTGTGCCAGTCTACACTCTCTAATGCCCGTGCCCACCTTATGTTTTAAAATGAATATTTTCACCCCACAAATTGTAATTTTAAGAGAAGAATATTGAGCATTATCGTACGCTTTTGATGAATGATGCTTCAATCAGAGCGTGTGGAAAATGCTCCCTGCTTCTACTTATTTTCGTAACTTTTCCCTCTCTAAACTTAAACCTAATCGCACCTCCGATTAGCACGTTTGGCTACGGACTGTGCGAACGACGTTCAACATACATCCATACATAATTACTGAATACGAATGAAGGTGAATGCTGACTCCCGCCAGGCTCACTCGTCAGTGTTGAAGGCGAGCCTCGTGTCGCTGGTGAGGCTGCGCTCGCTGCCCACGGACTTGGAGTTCTCGCTGCGCGGGGAGACGCTCCGACGCGCCGTGGAGGAGGACCGAGCACAAGGACTTGTCCCGTTCTTCGTGAGTTACTTAACTCCAAGCGTGAATTTGTTTATCGATGCAATGTGCACCAACATTTATGATTACAGTACTGTACTTGATTGGATTACCCAGAAAAAACCCCATCACTGAGTGTCTGGGGCCAATTACACAATTTGTTTTTAGATAATTTTCATATGTTTATAGGATACTGGAACATCTAAGAGTCTACACATGTGTAGAGGTGATAGCTACTCATTATTCGGGGACCTACGGTACAGCGTTGCCTCCCTCGGTAAACGGCCGGGGTCAGGGAGAGGTGAGAGCGGATCGTAATCACAGATTCCCGCCAGACAAACGGCCAAGGGTCAGATAAGGTGAAAGAGGATCCAAACGACAGATTGGGAAGAATCTATCAGAAGGGTCCACAAAGTAGCGTGGGATTGGACAAGCCCAGCCACGAACCAGTATAAAAGCCAGAGCGCTGAGAGCTCCGGCTCAGTTCTCCACACACGAAGACCGAAGCCCGGGCTGAAGAAGATAGGACCCTGGACCAAGCCTTCTAGCCCTTCTAAGGGCTGAGGCTCAGTGTTCCAGCGGTCAGGGGAGAATAGGTCCTGGATAGGCAGGACCCTGGGTCCCAGCCTTCCAGCCCTTCTAAGGGCTAAGGCTCTGCGTGACCAGAGATCGGGGACCCACCGAGCCAGCGGGGGGTCAGTTAGCCTCCCCTAGGTCCCAGCCGCAGGACGCTAGGTTATGCGGGTAGACTCGAGTCTAGTTCCCGCCAAGTCCGGAGGCTGTACCTCAGGTTAACGGGTAAGGGGACCGTATACCCCATTGTGTGTTAGGGACCGTGTCGAAAGAAAGGCAATAAACAGTGTGTGCCTCAAAGGAGTTTATTCGTCCGTGATTCAAGACACTCCACATGCAAGGCAAAACACTGAAATTCCACACATATGTCAGAAACCTACTTGTCGTACAGTACTGTGTTTGACTGCCTAGAAGTTACTGAATTACTCATAATGGGGTTTGTATTTCTATTGAGATTCTGCACCACATGCTTGAATATTTGTTCACAATAGTCATATAGTACCTGTATTGATTCTGTTTGAAGGATTCTTAACTTTTAAGCTTCACACACATAGCAACTGTTGCTTATCAACATAACTTGATGACATCACGTGCTCTGGAAAACCCATTCATTCAGTCATGCTGCAAGAAAGTGCCTTGCAACACAACCAGGCAACAATATGAACATGACAAGGATGCAACAACTTCCACATTAATTTAAATGTTTTGGTGTGGTTCATTAGATGTGGTACTTGGTGTCACTTGCATGGAACAAAATACATGATGGAGGTATAATTTACCTGCTAATTAGCCATGTAAGCTGACAGGATATATGTGTAGGGGTATAAATGGGATATGTGGGGCAAAGGGGAGGGACTGCAGACACTTACCTGCAGGGTCAGTTGCAGTATCCCTAGCCCTGGAGCAGGAGGGGCTGCGGGGTGTTCCTGGATCTCACACAGCCCCTCCCAACGGGTGGGGGCTGCGGGGTGTTCCTGGATCCCACACAGCCCCGCCCCTCGGTAAGAAAAACGTATATAAACGGACCTCTCCAGAGGTTCGGGGTCCAGTACGAAGACGGAGCGAAGAGAGAAGACGGAGCAGCCCAGCTAGGACCCTGGGAACCCCTGGCCCGACGTCCTTATCAGGGCCGGGTCTGAGCAGGCAAGTGGTTGGGACCCGCACCCTGGCTAGATCGGGTCAGATAGCCTCCCCTAGGTAATTGTTAGCTGGAGGACCCGAGAGCGTGACCGGTGTCAGGCTAGCCATTAGTTGTATTCCCATACGGTGTGTTATAATAAACAAGTGTGCCTCCAAGACAAGTCTCCAGAGTCTGCAACACTACATATGCAACACGAACAGTATGGCTCAGATGATGATAGCTATCTTGGTAAAATAACTACGTGTGTATAATGCTTTCGTGCTCTCACCACCGTGCATCTTGTGCGTGCGTGTATAGGTGTGCGCAACCCTTGGCACAACAGGCGTGTGCGCGTTTGACAACATGGCTGAACTGGGCCCAATCTGTGAGATCTGGTCTTCGAATTTCTCTTATTCCTAACACCCTAAGTTCATAACCGTTATAATTGCACCTCCGATTATCAAGGTTGGCTACGTACGGTGCGAAAGAAGTTCAACATACATACACACATAAACTGAAGTCCTTACCTATGCCATTTAAAAGCAGGAGCTAAATGTTTGCTTACTGTAACTAATTTGTTTAGACCTAGTTTAGGAAACCTTTTTACAAGCAAGAGCCAAACATCAGGGTGAAACACTATTATTGGCTTTTCTTGCGATCCACTCAGGCCGCCAGGAGGGGCTCTGGCTGCACGTGGACGCGGCGTACGCGGGCACTGCCTTCCTGTGTCCCGAGCTGCGTGACCCCCTGCGCGGGGTCGAGTTTGCCGACTCGTTCGTGGTCAACCCGGGCAAGTGGATGATGGTCAACCTGGATTGCGCCATATTTTGGTGAGGCCTCCGTGAATCGTGCAAAATACGTTTTGGACAAGATCGTGTTGGCCTTGTTGCACGAAACACAAGCTGTTAAGGTTTAATAATAGGGTTTTTCCACTTTTTTCTGGCAACAAGACTGAAACCTTTTTACAAGGAATCATGTGTGCATTAACCACAATACCTGTGGTCAAAATGCAAACAAAAAACACACTGATAATATATGCATTGTCCTTTAAACTGATTGGTCCACACCGGAGACGGCTTTCTTTTGTGCCTCGTCTCAATTGGTGCTAGACCAGGGGACGCCAAAAGGCGTACAGCTCAAAGACAATGCACTATCAAAATAATGAGGGCTCGGGTAAGCATCTACATCATTAGACCTCCTTTGCCAATACCAAAATATAATAATAGGGTCTGGACCAATGCATATATTATCAGTGTGTTTTTTTGTTTGCATTTTGACCACAAGTATTGTGGTTAATGCACACATGATTCCTCGTAAAAAAAGGTTTCAGTTTTGTTGCCAGAAAAGGGGGAAAACCCCTATTATTATATTTTGGTACTGGCAAAGGAGGTCTAATGATGTAGACTCTTAAGGTTTGTTCATTTGGATTTTATTTTTCACTGCTCAATGTCATTTATTTATATGACCTGGAAATCATATTTACCTGTTTAATATGCTTCGATTTCCTGTCTTCTCGGAAGTGAAGTGCCAAAGAGTGCCGTGACAGCATTCCCACACCACTGGCAACCGACTGATCGGTTTCTCGAATACTACAAGGGCATTGAATTAAAGAGATCCCACCCACTGACACCTCTTGAACCAACTGTCATAGTTCAACTACGTAATTGCATGCCTCTTATTGGCCAGCCTCCCACACTTGACTGCACGCTAAGAGCCCGACTCACTGTGCCAGGGTGGCGGACAAGCGGAGTCTGCAAAGCACGTTCTGCGTGGAGCCGCACTACTTACAGCACGAGCACTCCGGTTCGGTCACAGACTTCATGGTGGGTGAATCTGCTGCACTAAACATGTTTTGTTCATATAATGGCATGCATTCATGGAAGAGAACAGTGTATGCTCCATTACATTATGTCTAGGCGTACCAAGCCAACAGCTCTGATATTCTTGGTGCAAAGAGTATGATCGTATTCATACAATCTTAAATAATTTCACAAACATACCCGAACATTTTAAGTGGGTATATTTGCTCTGAGAACACAGCAGATAACATCAGAAAGCACCATCTTGTCAAGATGTCAATAAAATTGGTTAATCTTGCTTTTTCTCTTTAAAATAACATAGTTTAGCTAAACAAATTGACCTTAATATGAAAGTGTATTCTGATGTATTTAACAGCGGTTCCGTTGTATTGAACATGTTTCTTGGCATTCTGTAAGAAAACACATAGAATGTCATTTTTGCTGTAACCAGTGACACCCAAGCCTTTATAATTTTGCTTAGATATGTGGGAACGTTGTGGAAGTTGGGAGGGACGGGAGGTGGACATGGGGGCCCATATCAAGTAGTCAAGGGAGCTAATGAGCACTATTAAATGAGGGGGGCTCATATTTTCACCCACCATGATTCAGCAACTGTCCTCATGCCCAGTACAGTACATGATTGTGCTGTGAGATTTGTGTTAATGATCGGGGTGGTGTTTTCGTGCAGCACTGGCAGATCCCCCTGACTGTGCGTTTCCGCTCGCTCAAGCTGTGGTTTGTGATTCGCTCGTTCGGGCTGGACGGCCTGCAGGAGCACGTGCGCAGGGTGAGGGCCTCGTGTGACACGTGCTCCTAGTCACTGACACTCAGGACAGTTGAAACAATTATCATATTTACTGATACTAATTGTGGAAGGGGTATATCAATGTTGTATGTTTTTCTACAGACCAATAAACTTGCAAGGTATTTTGAAAGCCTTGTCAGGGAAGACCCCCACTTCGAAATTCCAGCGAAGAGCAACTTGGGACTCGTTGTGTTTCGTCTCCAGGTGAGATTTTACAGCTTTTCCCCATTAAATTGAAGATGCAGTGGAACGCTTTTAATTACTGGCCTCCACGTTAGACTCTCCCCTCGCTTTCCTCCTTTTGCTCTGCCCTCAGGTCCTTTCTCTTTTCTATCGCTTATTCACTTCCACTGCCTCCACCCCTACCGGTTCCTTCCCCCGCTTCTAACCCACTCCCGGTCCACTTCCTACTACGACCCTAATTCCTGACCCGGCTCCCACGTCTCATTTTCTCTATGTGCACCTAACCACATCTCTCCCCCAGCCATCCTCACTGACAGCCACTCCACCCCATCCGTTGCTCCACTTTTGCCCCTTTGTGTACCGCCGTTAGCTTGCATTGTAAAGTGCCCTGGAAAGGGCCCTATATAAATCTTAAATGTAATTTACTACTATAATGAGCCAAGAATGTCTGTGTGTCCTGGGTGTGACGTCACTCCATGTCGGCCAGCCCCCCTCATTAATAGTCATGAACAGGTGATGTCCTCCACATGGACCCCCCCCTCCCCCTCATTAATAATTATGAGCAGGCGACGTCACTCCACATGTAGCACCCCCCTCAATAATAATCATGAGCAGGTGACGTTACTCCACGTCGGCCAGCCCCCCTCATTAATAATCATGAACAGATAACGTCTTCCAAATGGACACATCCCCCTCCATTAATAGTAATTAGCGGGTGACGTCACTCCACATGGGGGGCCGAGGCGCCTCCTCCCCCCTCCTCAGCGTCAACTTACAACCCTCACTACAAAGGCAGAACCCTCACGTCACGCGATCTCCGTAACGCTATTGAGACGTTATGATTAACAAGGAATTATAACCTTTAAATGAATTAAGTCTGTGTCACCGCAGCCTTACAAATTGCACACGAATTGATGCAATCACGTCGCGGTCTGCTTTTCGCTTGCAAGTTTCAGATTTACTGAAATACACCCGTCCTTGGACAGGCAAAAAGCTAGGAGAATATAATTAGTTACCTAGCCTGTGGCTTTGTCACTCTTTGAGTTTTCTTATCCATTTATACCCTCTTACCTTCAGTTGTGGCCTGCAAGGCCGTTAAGCTCATACTCAGAACTCTTCGACTGGTGGTGTGGTAGACTAACACGGTGGATGACAACCAACCGATGTAGATGGCTGCAGGCTAGGAAAGATGTGAGCGTATCTATGGGACCATTTTGCCAATATCAAAGTATGAAAAATAATAGGTTTTATTGCCAGAAAGGGTAAAACCTATTCTTATTTTTCATCGCTGTTAACCTGTTGAGATGTACAAAGGTTTAACGGCTGCAGTAAAATAGATATTGCTTTATTCAAGCACCTTATTATATTGAGGCTGTTCTCGTTGCAGGGCCCAAACGAACTGACAAAGACACTTCTCAGGCGACTCAATGAGTCGCAGGAGCTGTTTGTGGCGCCAGCCATGGCCAGGGACAAGTTCATCATCCGCTTCGCCATCACGTCTCAGTTCACCACAGAGGCGGATGTGCTACGGGACTGGCGGCTCGTGTCGCAGGCTGCTACAGACCTGCTGCAGGGCTCAGCAGCCAAGGACTATGCGAGGGAAATGGAGACCTGCATTGTGGGCAGAGAGGAAGAGACTGCCCTTGACCTCCATAGTCAAGTCAAGGGTGTCTAGAGGTCATGGCACTGGCCAGGAGTTAAGAGCTCTCTCGTGCCAGATGGTGGAAATCTCCCTGATATTCACCAAATAATGCTGTATTTACTTGAGGGCCTGATTGAAAAAGTTTGAGATTTTATGATCACCCCCCCCCCCGCCTCCTAGAAGTTTCTAGATCTGCCTCCATTGATATTTTCAACATTTAATTTGGAAGCGATGTAATACAAGTTGTGGGTACTGAATGATGGGGGCATATGGATAGATGTTCTTTCATAAACAATTTTAATGTCATTTTATCTGATACATAGTTTTTAAACTTGAAATACACATTTGTCATTGGGGAAAAAAAGGTAAAGTGATTTCGTTATAAAATATCATTAATTTGGGAATGTACTGTATACTATCACTGCCTGGACATGATTTAAAACCTCATGCCCATTGGTCTGTATTCCATGGCTCAGAGGAGAAATTGGTACCACCTATGGTGAAAAGTCTTTAGTTATTGAACAGTTATAATATATAAAGCTATCAACTTTTATTTACCAGGTCCAGCCCGATCAGCTATTAGCTCTTTTTCAGAAGCGTGAAAATGTATAGCAGCTAAATAAACGAAACAAATGTTTCTAAAGTGGAGGGGAAACCACAGGGAGAGAGACACGCAAACTCCAAATATACAGCAGGCGTCAGGGTTGGGATCGAACCCACGACCGCTTGCATACCCAGCAAGGGAGATCATTTTACACCGCGGTACCCCTCTCACCACTTAGTTTTGGGAGAAGTGGATTCAAGCCATACAATTTGAATTCCGTTTGCACATAAAGGCAACTGCTGAGGTGGCATTGCACAAAATATCTTTAATATCCCTAAGCGCCATGACCGTAATCACCAACAGCACTATGAGATTGCTCAGTTGTAAGTTACAGCCATTTAACGAGCAACTGCTGAATGAAAACCTCCCAATTCCATATTGGTCACGGGTTGTTTGACCATAATTCAGCATTACGGGCAGTGCAGGTTAGAGAATGGTGGAGGACACCGCCCACCACAAAGTTGGCCGTGACCAGGAATTGAATCCGGGTCACCGAGATCATAGCATAGCACGCTGACCACCATTGGCACATGCAGACTGCGTGAAGATCAGAAAATGGCAGTATAGATATTTGTCATTACATATTATGTATAGGTGTTCGCTCATAACTCTGCTTTCGTATGACACAAAAGACTAAAAAAACTGAGTTGGCTCGGTGGCTCAGGAATTGAGCTGGATTAATACAAATCCCAATTGGTGTCAGATATCAGCCTTTTATTATTAAAATGAGGCATTACTTCAGCACCATGGTTCCTCCTAACTTTCTGACTGACCTGCCCCGACTGGACATCTGTGAAAAAAGAGCTTCATAGCACATCGGATTCCTCCAGGATGAATACAGATTCTGATCCCTCCTCTGAGGAATGACTTGGCTCAAAACCCTCACGCTCGTCACTCAAAGCTTCACTTTGCCGCTGACGATGCCCTCGTAGATTTGTCGCGTTAGCGGCGTGTAGCTGCACGCTGCATTGTCCAGGTAAAACTGGGGCGCACGGATGAGCGCCGGGTTGAAGCCCTCCTGCAAGAGGTGCGTCTTGATCTGCTTGAATGTGCTCGTCAACTCCAATGCTTCCTGTGTGACAAGGGGTTCAGGGTGTGACATCCGGAATGGTAAAATAATTAGGAAAACACACTACGAGTAAACAAAATAATCATAGATAAAACCTGCCACTGCTGGACATCTGTGAAAATGAGTTTTGTAGCTCATCGCATTCCTCCAGTATAAATTAATATTTTGATTATGATTTAGAAATTACAATAAAAATGTGTAAACAAACTAAAGAATGCCTGCTGTTCTTTGGTATAGATTGTATCAAATGCCCATATGTTTATGTAAGGATGTTAACATTTTGCGCATGTACAGCAAATATTATTTACAACATTGCCATGATCTGAAAATAACTCAAAAGCCAGAGTTTTTCTACTCAAGTAACCATGGGGCAGTGATCATCAGGAGTATGTCGCCCTTAGCAAGTGGTGGAAAGTCTACATTCCTATGGCAGGGTGAGCTTGTATGCACTTCATTTGCACCGTACGTAGTCAACCGTGCTAATCGGAGAGATGTGGGGGAAGGACAACAAATCAAACACAAAAAACAAACTAAACATAAAAGCTCATACATAGTAAAACCTCTTGACTGTAAAACTCAGTGGTAGCACAGTGGTTGAGTGCAAGCCTTGCAATCAAAAGGTTTTCAGTTCAAAGCCCTGTTGGGGATCGACCTGAGCCCTTCATCCACCCATCCATCCATCACGATCAGCCATAATCCAACTGCTGGATTAAGGCCTCTCCATATCTCACATTCCTGCGACGCCACTCTGTAGGCTCCATGGCGGACAACCTCTACCTGCAAGCGGATGAAGTAAGGGCGGACGTAGATTGGCAAGTGTCCTACAACGTGGCGGTACAGCTCCGGGCCGTCGAGCGAGTGGCCCTCCTCGAGGATCACAGCTGCCATGCCGGCCCGGCCCTCGTTATCTGAGAACAAAAAACGCAGCCATCAGAAGCAGTGGTGGTGGTTAATAGTGATATATTTTTTATGGTTTCAAACTAAGGTTCAAAGCGTTTATGCGTTCGCTCTGTTCGTCCAGAACTACAACTCTCGTAAAGATGATCCAATAAAAAAATGAACCTGTGGTATAAAGTTGTCTTGCTATTTTGGACTTTCCTTATTGAAAACAAGATAAACTGATCAAGGAATTGCTCAAAACGTTTGTCCTGATGGTTACCCATCAATTTCTGTACTGATAATTACACACATTGGTGTTAGAATCCTCTAGACCAGGCATGTCCAAAGTCCGGCCCGCGGGCCAATCACGGCCCACGGTCAGATTCCATACGGCCTGCAGCTTCGGTCTTATAAATCATAAAACTTTAAAGATGTAATTCCCCCTTTCACCACACGGTGACAGCACCATTCTAATTCTATCTGGCTCTGCATCTGTGCCGCAAACCCTTCTCGAGTCATTTCTGCCATGGCGACTGCAAAAAAAGAAATGCGGTCATTCACTAAGAAAATGCTGAGCTTATTCGGCTCCACATATTTGTGTGAGCAAACATTATCAGTCATGAACTTAAACAAGAACCGATTGAGGTCAAGGATGAGTGACTCCCACTTGCGTGGCATTTTACGCATCTCAACCACTGCCCTCAAGCCAGACCTGGTCTCTTTACTGAAATCTAGATTTCGATTTAAAGCTTTCGTGACTGCAGGGATTAATCTTCTTGGTTCTTTCGGTAAAGTCACATAGAAGGGAAATAATAAAATAATAAAAATAAATGAAAAATACTTTTTATTTGCTTTATTTTATTATTTCCCTTTTACGTGACTTTACCGAAAGAACCAAGAAGATGAAATCTAGATCTCAGTATCACCCTTCTCATTAGTGTCAGCAAGTTATCTGTTCCTTGATCAATCTCAAATTGAGTGTTTTGAACGGTAACATCTGTCACTATTAACAGTGAAAAGCCTAAAGCACACTAATGCACTTGGACTTATGGCACTTGTTTTATTAAACTCTTGAATAAGATTTGGTTATAACTATTGATGTTATGTACCTGTAGATGTGACACAAACTATTGCTTTCTGAAAGATCTTGTAAAATCCAGGGGAAAATTTCACTTGATTTAAAGTTTAATGATAACAGACCACTTTGCATTACTTATAACTCCTGTTTAAAATGTTCATGAGGCAAAGATATTTAACTCATGGAAATTTAAGGTATTCTATACAGTTTGTGCAATGTTATCTGACTGAATGAAAGGCAGAATTGTGTTTTTAGAGTTGTTCACGTCTGCCTGAGTGGCTTATATTTGCTTACATTGTAACATCTGTCACTATTGACAGTGAAAAGCCTAAAGCACACTAATGTACTTGGACTTATGGAACTTGTTTTTACTAAACTCTTGAATACGATTTGGTTATAACTGTTGATGTTATGTACCTGTAGATGTGACACAAACTATTGCTTTCTGAAAGATCAGCCAGGGGAAAAATTCACTTGATTTAAAGTTTAATGATAACAGACCACTTTGCATTACTTATAACTCCTGTTTAAAATGTTCATGAGGCAAAGATATTTAACTCATGGAAATTTAAGGTATTCTATACAGTTTGTGCAATGTTATCTGACTGAATGAAAGGCAGAATTGTGTTTTTAGAGTTGTTCACGTCTGCCTGAGTGGCTTATATTTGCTTACATTGTAACATCTGTCACTATTGACAGTGAAAAGCCTAAAGCACACTAATGTACTTGGACTTATGGAACTTGTTTTTACTAAACTCTTGAATACGATTTGGTTATAACTGTTGATGTTATGTACCTGTAGATGTGACACAAACTATTGCTTTCTGAAAGATCAGCCAGGGGAAAAATTCACTTGATTTAAAGTTTCATGATAACAGCCCACTTTGCATTACTTATAACTCCTGTTTAAAATGTTCATGAGGCAAAGATATTTAACTCATGGAAATTTAAGGTATTCTATACAGTTTGTTCAATGTTATCTGACTGAATGAAAGGCAGAATTGTGTTTTGAGAGTTGTTCACGTCTGCCTGAGTGGCTTATATTTGCTTACATTGTCATTTGAAAAATAAAGGTAATTGTGACAATGAAAATTGTTTTATAACAGTGTGTATTTTCACGTAACTTTTGTGGTAAAAAAAATGTAAAAAGGAACTATTGGCCCCCGGGCATCTTCACTTTATCAAATTTGGCCCTCTTTGCAAAAAGTTTGGAGACCCCTGCTCTAGGCCTAAGTGTTACTTTTTATAACTTGTTTAACTACGTTCATTATCAACACGAACAACGAGTGAAGACAAAGATTCATAACATCACAAAATAGAAAATAATATTAATTTATTCAGTGCCTATAAAACGTTTCTTAGCATGTGGTTACTCCCATGAATATTATATTGACTACATAATGATTGATGACCACTTATATATAATGCGAACATATTATTCATTTGGTGAGGGCGATCCGATACATGTTTTACTTCAATAACTAGGGAGAAAAATGAGATCAACGTTGATTAAGCTCGTCAATAGGGGAAGGTAGAACGTTACAACAACAAGCGATACAAAACACGATAGCAGTGCAAAGTACAAAAAAGATAAAGAAATCAACCAAAAACATACAAATAAAACAAAACCATCCCCACCCTACCAGGCGAAGCCCACTGAGGTAGTAATTAGTCTGGAAGATTGAGTCCCCAACATGGGAGCAGCAGGAATCACTGAGTGAAGTTCACGGGGACAGCGATAGAAGAGGGGCAAGAAGGTGAGCAGGTGCTGAATCATTCATAAATCTGCTTTCCATTGAAGTTTTGTTTTAAAGTCGTTCATTAGCTGCACCACCAACTTGGGATGGTGACACCGTACACTGTGACTTCCTTGATGAAGTCCAGGTCACTCAGAGTGTCTGCCACCTCCATGGTCGAGACGTTCTCACCTTTCCACCTTATCGACAGAAACAAGGAATCATTCAATCTTGGTGTGTCTGCCTTGTTATTGAGCTATAGTCGTCAGTGTCTGGTGCCCTCACCTCTGGGTAAGGGGATGCAGAAGCCCTTGTCATCACGCACGGTTCCATCCTTTTCATGTACATACTTAACCAGAGCATACTTTATCAGGAGCTGAAATAAAGCAAAGCCATACGAACAATTTCAAGGTCACTCATCTTTCCCTTGTAGTCCTCCCGCACAAGCTATAGTTGTTACCCTTGACTGCTGGGGCAAAGGCTGTCTTACAAATAATTTTTAGGTCTTTCTTTAATTCCACTCAGGAAACAACAGTTTTGTGAATTTTAAGACACTGTAGATTTAAATTACTTTGTTTGCTGCCTTACAGTTGTGATAGTTCATTTTCTGCAAATTATACTTTGTATTGTATTTCTTCTTGATTTGCACTTCATGTCTTGCTTACAAAATAAATGTTTGTCTTTTGGTATGTATTCATTTGCATTCTTAATCATACAATATTCAACGTGCCAAAGTCCATCTTTGTAAGATGCCTGTGGATTTGTCCAGGGCTTACCTATCGACCATTGCTCATGATGATCCTAATTTGAACAAACCCTGGAGGGCCCCACTCAACAAGCTCCAAATGCCCAGTAACAGCTGAAGCAGCATTTTCACCTCCCATGGTGGTCAAGAGTGTTATGGGTCGATAATAACCAGGAAAATAGATTATAGACGATACTGTGTTGGCACAAGTAACAAAAACTCAAAACGTTTCTTAATAACGCTGCCTTAAAATTTTAATATATTAAATATTTGTGCTATAAAGAAGGGCCATTGCCCTACACATCACCAATTTCTACTATTTTCCTTTATAAGGGCATAGTGTTGTTGACGAACGTGTTGAGTTTTTGTTAACATCGTCCCAAGACAGCACACCCAAAATACAGGCACACTCCCTAAGCTAACCTTGGTCCAGGCAGTCTGCGAAGAAGGAGGTATGGCAAGAAGCCAGGATTTGACAGCGGAATGACAACAATAATAACAACGGCTGAGAAATTACAACGCACACGCAGGAAGGGCAGGTCCCGGCCGCAGGCCCCGAGCTTTCCATCCACGTTGACGAAGCCCACGTTGCCCTCGGTGGCGCCGTAGATATCGCAGAATCTCACGTCCCCGTGCCGCTCAAGAAAACGCGCCCCCACGTCTGCTCGCATTCCATTCCCCACGGTCATGCGAACCGAGTGCAAGCGGTCCAGCTTGTTCTTGACACGGCACGCGAGGGAGGTAGGGAGGGTGAGGAAAAGAATGTTCCTTGAGCGAAAGTTTGTTTTCGAAGCATCTATGGAGAAGACATGATAGTGTGTGTGCCATCACTGACAATGTGGAAAATGTATAAGGTGGTGTACTATCACTGAGTAGGTATTTTGGCACTTATGCTGTACTGTCTCCGATGTGTTTTCGGTGTTGTTATCGTGTGTCGTTGGGCATTATGTCTGACATTTTGCTCCGCATGCTTAGGAGCTTCTTCACTGAATTCCTGAACTGAATTCACTGAAGTATGGTCAAACCCTCCACACCCCATGACCCACATGCCATTGAGAAGTCCTCCTCATGCAGCAGTGCCTTGACAAAAAGGGCCGTACATGTCCACACACATGGTCTTTATTTTGAGGGCCCATCACCCGCAATTGCTTGATGAATTTTCAACGCGCATTGATCGTTAACGAGACAACACTTGGCACCTTGGGCTGGCTGAGGACGTATCGGCAGATCTCGCCGACGTACTGGAACACGGTGACGCCGTGCTGGCGGCAGTCTCCCCAAAAGTGGCTCACAGACAACTTCCTCCACAGAACCAAGTGCGCACCTGCAGCCAGAGGGATGAGACGACAAGACAACACGGGGGTGGGGGGGGGGGGGGAGAATGGGATCAGTGCTGGTGTCAGTTTAACACGTGGTAAGCGTTCACGACCAATATCATCCATAATAGGTTTTTTTTGGGGTTAGATCACGTACATTTTTAAATGTGTTAAAACCCTCCACCACCCGACACAGCCAACGAGTAAGGGTTGTCACGTAAACAGAACGTGCCAATTCTTCACGAGTACATCACACCGGTTTGTTGGAGAGCCAAGCCACAACATTTACAATCTGAGTACGACGTTTCGCCAGTAATTACAACTATATAGAGGCGTAGATGTGGTGACCACGCTTCTGCCCTCTTGCGAGGTCAGGTATCATATGACCTCAGTCAACCCACGGTACCTGGGTCTGTCCCGTGACCTCTTGCCAGCGAGCCTTCGACACGTGGCTTTAAAGTGCACCTGGCCTGGAATAAATGCCGTAACGTCATCGCCACTGCGTGGCGAATTGCAGATGCTGTCGTTGGTCTGGTGTCATCCCATAACCCGAACGCAAACTCTAGACCTTGTCCTAATCTTAACCCAACCCAAGTCGTAACCCTGTGCTCACCCTCATATAAACCCATGTTAAAACCCTATTCATACCTGACTCCTCACCTCAACCCAAAGCCTCGGATTAACGCTATTCGTTATGCCCTAATTCGTGGTTCCCACCCTGTGGTCCGAAAAGGCTGTGGGAAGTGGTCCACGGAACTGCTCGATTTTTTTTCTTCTTCACAAAGCACCGTATTTTATTTTTACTACCCATTGTACAACTATTTCGATTGTATCGCGACTCGTACACACAAGTTGGCGATTGACTGAATCTGCTCATTTGCTGACATTGGTTTACTGACGTTATAACGCCTCAAATTGTCACGGTTGGCTACGTACGATGCGAAATAAGTTCAACATACATGCATATTTGCATGGTGGTCCACCAAACTAACCCGAGCACCGAATCATATTCTTACCCTCAGTTTATTTCCAACAACACGAGCGCTCACCCTCTCAAAACCAGGGCAAAGATCCCGAGTGTAGTTTTTAAAAGACTGTTGGGGCAAGTGCTGTTAGCAAGCACCTGTGAAGGCCGGCACTTGTGGCACACGAGGGGGTGTGGTTGGTTAGCGCCACACCCGGTCACCTTTGTCTCCCTCGTGTGGCGATGTTGACACATCAGACCAGGTACTCATTATAACGCTGAGTCGGCCTTTCAGGAGGCCCAAGAACGGTTCAGATAATGGAACTCGGGCGGCTGGGTTCGTCGTGCAGCGTAGCGCTAACTATCCCAACGACATCTCCCCACGCAAGCAGAGAAAGTGAGACGCACAGTGCCCTCTCCTGGATAAAGTTATATAAGTGCCCAAGATGAGCAAGCAGCCAACGTTCATCATTGGAAGTCCCTTGTCAGGATCAAAATATAAGAATAGGTTTTACCCTTTCTGGAAATAAAACAGGTGTGAAGATGTATAAACACCAAACTGTGGTAATATCTGGTTAATGCAGACATGATTCCTTGCAAAAGGTTTCAGTTTGGTGTTTAAACATATTAACACCTGTTTTATTGCCAGAAAGGGTCAAACATATTCTTATAGCCAACGTTCAGTTTAAATCTGAACAATGTAGTGTGTACATGCGAGGCAATGCAACTGACAAATATGCAACTGCCATTGCAACCGTGATTGGCTCTGCTGGTGGAATTCAGTGTAATAAACTCCTCCAGGATAAATAAAGATTCTGAGTAAAGATTCTAAATGACATGGTCAGGTGCAAGTTCAATTATATCAATAAGCAGTAAACATACGTTTGCATGTGTAGGAATTTGTTTCGAGTTTATTTTGTTGAACCAAGCGAGCAGTTAAGAGACCAGGATAACTTCATTTTCAAGGGTGACCTGGGACACTGTTCTACCTACAGAGGGCGATGTTTGCTAAGTTGAGTATTTCAGGTAATTTTATAACTTGGACCCTGACAGAGGCGCACAATGGCCTTCTCGTGCGAATGACGTCAGGGGATATTTAACATCCACTATCAAGCATACGGCGCATATTATTATCGTTAACCAGGGCAGTCACTGGAATTGAACCGTGAACCTTTGCAACATGCGGGAACACACTACCCCTATAGGTTTGGCTCCATTTCTAAGCGACAGGAAAACGTGATCAAAGCAATGCTGCTAATCATGTCACGTTTTTTGTCGACTATGGATTACTCAAAAGATTAGGAGCGATTTACGAGTATAGTGGCATAAAATGGGTCACGAGGGCACGTTGCGCTGGTTGCCGGCAGAGAGGGGGATCTGTGGGTGTAGCAGCCCAGTCTGCCAGTAGGGCATGTGAGATGTAGTGACATAGAATGTGTCACGAGGGCACGTTGCGCTGGTTGTTGGCAGAGAGGGGGATCTGAGGGTGGAGCAGCCCGGTTTGCCAGCAGGGCATGTGATAGGCCGGGGAAAGGGATGTCAGGCAAAAGTGACGGAGGGGACACGTGAGGTGAAGCTGGAAACCTTCTGGTAGGTTCCAGAAGGGGGCGTGGCCGAGGGCAGAGCTAGGCCACGCTGGGGGGGATGAAAGGGAGGCCCCGACTCAGGGTTGGGGCTGTTGTCTGGAATGGAACCGGTCGTGCTACCAAGTCTTTGTTCCCGTCTTCATCCTCATCTTCACCTCCTCGACGTTGTTGGTGAAGCTGTGTGCTAGCTGTCCTGACCATAGAATAGTTATCCCCTGTACTTGTGATGGCTAGAATAAAGCAGAGTGCCTCCTACTATTAGTGTCTCTGAAGTTAATCACTAAATGTGGTGCCAGAAGTAATAAAAAAAAGACAATTCTCTTAATTGTATTTATAGGGAAATGAAAGTTTGCTTTACAATATCAAAGTCAACGAGGAGTAAAGCTCTTACCGTAGCGTCATTGAAAGAAGAAGACGACGGGGAGGTGATCCCCCAGACAGCCCTGGAATCCAGGACCCCGGTAACTGGTCCCAAAGAGGCGGTCCCGGTGGAGCAGCGGGCAGGAAATGACGACTCTGTGCTGCCGCCGTCTGGAGGAGGACGGCTTGTACGCAAGGCGCGCCTCGCGGACCTACTATCCGCGGCAGCAGTGCTGGTTGTGCACCTGGAGGTGGAGGAGCCGGAGGAAGGGGGCAGCGAGCAGACAGCCCTACCGTCGCCGCCGACCAAGCGCAGGAAAAATGGCGGAGCTCCGGCCCTGCGCGAGCGTCCGCCATTTTGTCGATCAGGCAATAATCACTTCTCCCCAAATTCGACCTGCCACTAACATTTCGCCTGGAGGTGCCTTCCCTCAAGAAGCGGCTGTTGTTCGTGAGGGAGTTTAGATGGACAACCATCAAAAATCATGCAGGAACTCTTTGAGATATGCATCTTAGTTAAATGAAGATATTTGGAAACGTTTTGAGAAAACAAGATGCAAGGGTAACAATACAAATGTACAAATTTACCTGAAGTTTGATCATTTAAATAGTTTATTACACAATCATTACAGCAAATTAAGTATTTACATTTATATAAAATCGCGTAATGTTAAAGAAAACGTGTTAATGGATATATTTTAAGATATGCAAGTAAAAATATATATTCAGTGATGAATAGGGGGGTCCAGGGAAGATCGGATATTGCTTGCCACAAATGTTAAACATGGCCAGACTTAATCTGGCCCAAAAAAATATTCAGATTTTTTTATTTACAGAATAAAAAAACACTTGCAAGAATATTTTTTTTTACAAATTCAATATACTATTTATTTGCAAGCTGAGACTGTATAGGTAGGTTATTTGATTCAAGTAAAATTCCTTGTTTTATTGGTTATTGAGCAGCTCCAACGCTATTATTAAAACTATGGTAATAAGGGGACCGTTTGTGTTTTGTAACTGTTGATGCGTGATCTGGGCCAGGCATCTAACCCGGCCTCCACGGAGCTGCAGATAGTGATGACGGACTGGCTGGTGAACATGCTGTCCCTCCCTGACACCTTTCGACATGATCACCCAGACGGATGTGGAGGTGGAGTCATACAGGTCCTTCATCTATATCATCATCATATTTGCAACACTTTGGTTTACAAAGCAGTACATTTAAAATCTAAATACATCTAAAACGATAAACATTACCAGAATAGGCAAGAAAGATTAGAAGCAAACATTTAAGGGGTGGAGAGTGGAGACAGACAGGAGACCATACTCAAAAGAGTATGGAAAGAGTATGGATTCCTGCAGTCACGAAAGCTTCAAATCAAGACAGACAGGAGAATTGATAGCATGGCGCTGTGGGAAATACAAGTTGGAAGTGATGTGTTTAAGAAGAGATTTGAATGCTAGAAGGGGCCAGTTGATATAAATGAGTGATAGCAATTGTCATATTAACCGCAATGTAATAGTGACATACTGTCACATGTGTTCATCAGGGTGCTTGCATGGCCTTCATGCGTAGCACAGTTGCCTCCAAAGTCAGTGGACCATTTTCTTAAAACTTTTGATCAATTATAATTATTAATGGATCTATTAGTTGCACTCATTCCAAAAATGTGTGCGTGTGTACTTGCGTGTTTGTTGAACAGAGCTCAGTGAGCGAATCCACCATGCTGGCTCTCCTGACGGCACGGACACGCGCTCTTACACAGTTACGCTGGGATGTGAGCCAGGACGTCGGCAATGACGCACTCCTCAGCTCACGACTAGTTGGGAACACCTCAGACCAGGTGTGCGAGTCTACACTCTCTAATGCCCGTGTTCACCTTATGTTTTAAAATTTATTTCCCCCCCCCACAAATTGTAATTTTAATAGAAGAATATTAAGCATTATTGTACGCTTTTGATGAATGATGCTTCAATCAGAGGGTGTGGAAAATGCTCCCTGCTTCTCATTTTCGTAACTTTTCGCTCTCAAAACTTATACCTAATTGCACCTTCGAATAGCACATTTGGCTACGGACTGTGCGAACGACGTTCAACATACATCCATACATAATTACTGAATACGAATGAAGGTGAATTTTTACTCCCGCCAGGTTCACTCGTCAGTGTTGAAGGCGAGCCTCGTGTCGCTGGTGAGGCTGCGCTCGCTGCCCACGGACTTGGAGTTCTCGCTGCGCGGGGAGATGCTCCGACGCGCTGTGGAGGAGGACCGAGCACAGGAACTTGTCCCGTTCTTCGTGAGTTACTTAACTCCAAGCGTGAATGTTTTTTTATCGATGCAATGTGCACCAACATTTATGATTATGTACTTGATTGGATTACCCAGAAAAAACCCCATCACTGAGTGTCTGGGGCCAATTAGACAATTTGATTTTAGAGAAGAATTTTCATATGTTTATAGGCTACTGGAACATCTAAGAGCCTACACATGTGTAGAGGTGATAGCTACTCATTATTCGGGGACCTACGGTACAGCGTTGCCTCCCTCGGTAAACGGTCGGGGTCAGGGAGAGGTGAGAGCAGATCGTAATCACAGATTCCCGCCAGACAAACGGCCAAGGGTCAGATAAGGTGAAAGAGGATCCAAACGACATATTGGGAAGTACCAATCAGAAGGGTGCACAAAGTAGCTTGGGATTGGACAAGCCCAGCCACGAAC